TTTTTTCAGAGAGTGGAAGCAGGGGAGGGGCAGAGAAAGAGGAAGGCAGAGGATCCAAAGCAGGCTCTGCCCTCACAGCAGCAAGTCCTATGTGGGGCTCGAACTCACCAACTGTGAGATCATGACCTGAGCCGAAGTCAGATGCTCAACCAACTGAGCCACCCAAGGTGCCCCGGAAGGCGGGAATTTTTAAAGAGAAAAGTGGTATTAACTTGAGGCTTCCACTGCTCTCACCATCAATGATTTCCCTTTTTGATTTGGAGAGGCAGAAGTTGATCCCATGCCTACCTCTTTCTGGTTTCGGTGGACTTGGCCGTCTTGATGGTGCTTCCGTCCTGGGCGATGTCTCTTTCCTGAGAGGCAGGAGCATCTCTAACAGGGAGCGGTAGGACCACCGTTTCCTGAGTCACAGGGACAACCTCCTCATCCGCCCCTTGCTGGCCCAGGTGCTGCTTGGCATAGTCAAAGCCTTGCACAGGCTGCAAAGAGGAAACAGATTTGTGGTCACGTTTTTGGCAAAGTGTGACTCTAATGACGGCTTTAAGAGAAGATGGGCAGGAGAGTGCATGTGACAGGACCATACTTAGCTTTCTGATGAACGAGAGTTAACCCAAATCTCCCTCATAATTTCTATCTGCGAAATCAGAATCTGTGCTAATTCCACTTAGCTATAGAATCTTTACGGGGAAGACTTACTTGGAAAAATGAATAGTGTAAACAAGATGCAAATATGTGTGTGAGAACAAACTTCTTCCAGGAATTAAAAAAAAATGTTTTTATACATTTATTTATTTTTGAGAGACAGAGTCAGAGCACAAGTGGGGGAGGGGCAGAGAGAGGAGACACAGGATCCGAAACAGGCTCCAGGCTCCGAGCTGTCAGCACAGAGCCCTACGCAGGGCTCGAACCCACAAACCGTGAGATCATGACCTGAGCCAAAGTCAGATGCTTAACCGACTGAGCCACCCAGGCGCCCCAAAGAATTTTAAACGAACAATTTTAAGTTACTGGATACTGCTAATTAGAGACTCTTAATTATTATATGAAATAGGTCCTGTATCATCTCCTGCCTAGGAGCATCTCGTCATCCCTGAACCCTACTTTCACATGGCCTTATGCACAGTAAGGGGTGTGTGACTTTGCCAAGTCGCTGGGATTCTGAACCTCAATTTTCTCATCTGAGAAATGAAGATAATCAGATCTGCGGTACCTAAGCCACACCTGAGTATTAAAGGGGAATCACAGCTCTGAAAACAGAGGGAAAGAAACGTGCTTCCACATGTGAAGCAGTACAATCATTAATAATAAAATGGAATTTATGGAATCACTCAAATCCAGACCTATGGCTCTCCTATGATTCATTACTGGGTAATTAGCAAGGCTTTTATTGCACAATGTCTGAAATCCCAAGTGAATAGGGCAGCTGTGAACAAAGCCCAGTAGACATCTATTAGTGGGGCAATAAAAAACCAAGAGGTGTATTTTAACAATTCCTGGGAGTGTCTCTATTCTGCTTTACACACCAGAGCAGCACAACACAGATTTAAGGCAAGACAGTGGGGGGGGGAGGGGGGGTGGAAAGCACCAGCTCCAAAAGCAGACTGCCTGGGTTCCAATCCCAGTTCTCCCACGTATTAGCTAGGTGACCTTGGGTAAGACACTGAAATTCTCGGCACATCAGTTTCCTCACCTATAAAGTGGAGATCATAGCAGGGTAAACAGGATCAAATGTGTAAGTATGTGGAAGTGATTTAACCACCCTCAAAGAGATGCTGCGTGGATTAAGTAGGTAAATGTATGTTCAGCGTTTAGTGAAGTGCTTGGTACGTTGTAAGTGCTCAATCGATAATAGTTAATATTGTTAGCCTTCCATTAAATCATAGACCAGGTGCAATAGAAATCAGTGATTCTTTTCAGGAAAATTTGGAGATGAGGGTTGCCTGGGTGGCTTGGTCCATTAAACGTCCCACAGTCTCACCTCAGGTCTTAATCTCAGAGTCATGTGTTTAAGCCCTGCATTGGGCTCCATGTTGGGCATGGAGCCTACTTAAAAAAGAAGAGAAAAGAAAAGAAAATTTGGGGAAGAAACTCCACCTCCACAATGTGTGTTTCATTGGAACTTGACATGGAGAGAAGCCCCTCCTTCAGCAGTGAATTTAGCTAAGAAATGTAACAGAGAGGCTCCAGCCAAATGGAATGGTCTAGGACTGTGGCCCAGCCTATCAAATCTTACTACCACAACTCAGGACAAGACGGAGTTATATTGCTAAATCCAGCAAAGCTTCCTTATTTCAAGCTGTCTGTAGTTCTGCCATGGACAGTTCCCCCAATTCCCAGGGAAACTCACTCTGGAAAGTGTGCTCAGCCCTTCCTCTTCACTGAGACACACACTCTGACCCAAATGGTGACCATGGACATTCTGTGCCAGGATCCGGGAACGTGCTTCTGAAATAGTGTTTGTCTGTTCAATTCCTCCCTCCTATGGTGCCACATGAAACAGAATGGAGCCTGCGAATAACCTGGTCACGTTCCTAGACTACTGAATTGCCAGCTCCTCCAACCAATGGTCACCAATTGGATTCACCTGAAAAGTTTCTAGAAGCTGAGCTTTTCTCTCCAGGTCCACTGTTTCATTGTCTCCTGGCTTGGTCTTGTGGCTTCCATTCAGATCCTTTGACCAGCTTCCAAAGTTATCTCCCTAAAAACCACATCAAGTCATGTACTCCGCCATTATAAGTCTCTCGTCGGGGGTGCCTGAGTGGCCCAGTTAGTTAAGCATCTGACTCTTGATCTCAGCCCAGGTCTTGATCTCAGGGTGTTGAGTTTAAGCCCTGCATTCGGCTCTGCGCTGGGTGCAAAGCCTACTTAAAAAAAATGTTTTGGGGCACCTGGGTGGCTCAGTTGGTCAAGCATCTGAATTCGGCTCAGATCACTATCTTGCAGTTCATGGGTTCTAGTCCCACATCGGGATCTGTGCTGATGGCTCAGAGCCTGGAGATTGCTTCAGATTCTGTCTCTCTCTCTCTGCCCCTCCCCTGCTCACACTCTGTCTTTCAAAAATAAATGAACATTAAGAAAAAAATTTTAAAAAGTGTTTCACGGCACTCAAACTCTTCAGCAAGGCATGTAAGGCCTTTTGCAGTCTGGCTGGACCCACCTGCTCAGCCACGCCTCCTGTTCGTACCTTTTCCATAATCCTCCCATGCCCTCATTAGCCTATTCAGCATAGTGCCAACTACAGTTACTGAGCACTGGCTTGTGCCTCGGACTGTGCCTGGTGCTGGATATATGAGGATGAATAATAGCCAGTCCATGCCCTCAAGGCATTCACAGTTTCAGCCTTATTTGGTATGACTGGTACAGTGCTGAATGCATGATATCAATTATGACATTTCATCCGCACTGCAGTTCAGGGGGTGGCATTATTATGATTCTCCATTTTAAAGATAAATAAACTGAGGGTTGGAGAGGTTAAGCAACTTCTCAGGCTCACCCAGCTGGTCAGGGGTGGGGTCGGGATTTGCACCCAGGTCCGCGTGATGCAGAGCCAGGATATCTGAGCACTGCCTGATGATTCCTCCCATGACCTTTCCCCTCATCCTGCAGCCTACCATCTTGGTTGGGCATCTGCTACCGTACTTGGTCTGGCTCCCATGTTGAGACTACTGGCCTGTCTGTGAGGAACTGAGAGTCTCCGATGGCAGCTAAGGCTTCCCAAGAACCTAGTTAGGACAGCAAGCTGGCTCTGGTCCTCTCCCTCTTGCCCCCACTCTCCCTGGATTTGGCACCTCACCCTTCACACTGTGTTGAAGTTACCTGCTAGATACTTCAGGGGACTGGGTTGATGATGAGTGAGCAGAAACAGAGATATTAAGGAAGGACAGGCTTCAAGGGTGGCCACTGTTATTAGGTTAATAATAACAGTTCTCACATATGCTCAGTCCTGACAGCCTTCAAAACACTGACACCTCATTTTGTGCTCACAAACACCCTCTGAGGAAGCAGGGCAAACATCACAGTCTTCGTTTAACAGGCAAGAACACAAAAGCTCAGAGAAGTCCAGTGACTTGCCCAAGATCACACAGCTAAGTGGTGAAAGACTCAAGACCAGTCCCTCACTCTTCTGACTGATGGGTAGTGGTCTTTCAGTCCTCAGTTTGAAAATCACCTGAAATTAATTAATTGCCATTGGACACACCCTCGTGACCCCTGATACTATTAAGACATAATGAAGTATCTATAGCTGCTTCAACGAGTTTTGTAAAATTAGAAAATCAAAATAATCCTCAACAATTTCAAAGGTAGACATGTTATCCAGACCTTTGAAAAAAAAAAGGACCTTTATAATAATGAAGGCCAACTTGTATGTAATATTTATGTGCCAGGCACAGCTCAAAGTAACTTACGAAAATCAATCCTCACAACAACCTATAAGTAAACACTGTTATCATCCCCATTTCACAGATGGGAAAACTGAGGCACAAAGAGGTTAAATACAGGCCACACAGTCTGTGAAAAAGAGGAAACAGCTGGGCACCTTCAGGGGGTGACTGACCTGTCCCGGGCAGATGGTCATGCCAACCATTGTGGGCCCTCCATGCTCCATCCTGCATCTGGATGTGGCCCTACCTACTGTCCTGTAAGGCTGCCTGCTCCAGGAAGCTGTGTTCTCATCAATTATATGAAGGGAAACACTGGGCAAAGGCTGTGAATCCAATGACAAAGAGTAAAGAGAAATGAACCAGGAAGAAAGAAGCTCACGAGAGCCCTGACACCTGGCCCTCCTGCGTTTATCATTTTCTCAACACTACCTACAGAAGCCCAGCTGACAACCATGGTAACAGGGTCACGTCTATGGTACCTTGTCTCCGAAGAAGGGTACGGCCGTGCACGCCCTGGCCTCGGCTCCCAGGACGGCTGCACGCAGCTCCTCTTAGCCTGTCAAGTCTATTACTGAGACTCAGCAGGGATCCCCGGGAATGTCCTGTGGCACTGCCGTCTGCATTCTAAAGACACGATGATGTCCCTGGAGACTAGGAGACCATCCTCCCACGCTACGGAGTGGTCACGAAGGCTAACTTTTTCATTCCGCCTCTTTCCTTGGCATTAAATGAATTCTGGTCACACACACACACGGTGTGAGATGCGACACGGGCAGCTCTCTCCTCTCCAACACTGCAGTGTCCCTGGGTTGCGAGGGCAGAAGGACTGCGGTAACAGAGAGGCGGATCCACCCCGCTGGCTTCCTGTGATAAAGGAGCTTTGCAAATCAAAGTGCGGAGCTCAGCCTCATTGAGGGAGAAAACAACTAGAGCTACCACACACAAGTGAATTCAGTCTTCTGGAACATAAATTGGCTTGATTTTCAACATCGGCCACGTATCTCTTCAAGCACAATTCACCAGGTAGGAACATAAAAGGGGCTATGAAAACCCACAAACATGAATCTCTTCCAGCTCCAAACAGCTTTCAAGCCAGAAGGTACACTGAAATCGTGTGCTGCCCCACTCACCTCAGCAAATTAATAAAATTTTGGCTTAATCTGTAACACAGAGTTGCCATTTACAATCTCAGTATGGCATGTTTTGCATTCCTGGACTCGGCTGCAGTTAGATTCTGGTAATTACTGTTATGTCTGGAAGGCTCAGGTTGTAACTAAGCTAAGATGGAAATGAAAGACCCCTTCTTGGAACAGTTTTATTTGTCACTGCTTGGGCAATAGCCAACACTGTGCTGCATCTGGAAAGCCGGTGCCCTTTGTGTCAACAGAAACAGAACAACATTCTTTGGAGTTTGGCTCTTTGGTAGACAGAGCGTTGCAGCTTTGCAACAGGTGAATTAGTTTAACAAACGATAAAATTCAATTGATTTCTTTTGCTGAAGCAAGGTGTGATCGTCCAGAAAGAACCAGGCATGCATGACTGCTGGCAAGGACTATCTCCATGACCTGCATTCCAATGGAATGAAAATTCCTTTTGCTGTTCCATTCCTGCACAGGTGGACAAAGCTCAGAAGTTCAGCGATGGAGGAAGAGTCTACCTGCCAAATCTCAGGGCTCAGGAACGGGTATAATGCGGAAAGAGCCCAAAGACACAGCTATGGGCCCGAGTCGCTCCTTTTGCTGCTAGTTATGTGACTTTGGACAAATCCCCACAGCCTCTCTTTCCTTAGCCTTCTCAACAGTAATGTGAAAATAATAAAACCTGCCCTGGCTATGATCTACCTTATAGGGCTGCTGTGATGGGCAGATGAGGTCACAGACCCAGAAGAACCCAGCAAATTGTAAGGCATTATTTAAAGATCAGGTATTACAGATTACTGTATTTCCCTCGAGGGGATATCATGAAGGGAGCTATGTGACTGGAAAATTAGTGCTGGGAGTTTCCTCAGTCCACTCCCCTCCCCGTCACCAGAGGTGTGGAGGCTGTGCAGGGTGCATGGGCTCCCGGCCAGCCTCCAGTTGAGCCACTGAACCAGCGTGTGATGACTGCCCGGCCAAGACTCTGCAGCTTGCCCATCATGGCAGCCTTCGAAGATAAGTCACTCCGGTCAATGGAAGAAGGAAAATTTTGAGAGTCTCATGTGCCCAGAAGAGCCCTGCATTAGGAGCCAAAAGCCCTGGTTCTACCATCAGTTCTGCTACTTACAAACTGTGTGATCTTAGAGCTACTTCTCTGGAAAAGGACCATGTCAGATTAGATGGCCTCCACAGCCCCTTTCAGGTCTATCCAGCTCCTAATTTTCTGTGTCTCAGTTTCCTCACCTGCACAACAATGGCTCTTCCTTAAAGCATTGCTGTGAGGATGGGAGCTGCTGTAGGTAAAGCCGTCAGAAGTACTTACGGCTCAGAGAGAGAGCATTATTAGGTAAGCATTAGCTATCGTGGCCTGACGATAAACACAAATGGTGCACAATGATGGGAGTATACTGAAAAACACTGAATTGTACACTTAAAAATGGTTAAGGTGGTAGATTTTATGTTATGTATTATTTACTATAATTTTTTTTTTAATCTGAATAAATAAAGGGTCTCCTTCAAGATAGGGCTTGTCAGAATGTTTCTGAAGGTACTTGCAATGACCTCAAAAGCTACCACTTCCCACACCTTTGCTCTCTGAGGCAGGTTCATCATGGTGTCCGGCTTGAAGTCGTTCTTGTTCTTCCGGCAAAGCACAGCAGTGATGATGATGATGATGACCGTGACCACAGCAATGGGTGCCAGCACTGCCGCGATGATCCACAGGTTGTTGGGTGGATTCTTCACCACGGCTGTGGGAAAAGCAGAAGGAGGCACGTGACAAGGGGCACCAGAAGGGGGAAAGCAGCCCCCACACCCTTGGTCCCCAAGTCATGAGATGGTGAAGAGGGTTTGGGATCAGAAAGGCCCTTGCCTTGGGCAAGTTATTCAAGGTCTCTGAGTCTCAATTTTCCTCGTATGTAAAACAGGATTATCACTTTGTAGGGCACCAGAGAGACGGGGGGTGTTATGTGGGGCTTTGGTGTGGTCCCTACTAGGTGCTCAATAAATGCTAGCCTTCACTATTCTTAAGAGAAAGAGGAAGATGGATTGGTATCAATTTTCCCCAAAAGTAATGTCTATGAATCCAAAGAGAAGAGAGAAAGTCTAAGGGTCAGAGTTGGATTACAGGCAGGAGGCAAGGCTACAGAGAAATGACTCTAAATACTGTAGTGAAGCCACCCTCCAAGTGAGCAATGAATAAACATAGCTGAGTGGGTGGATCTAACCCCCCCATGGGCTGGCTGGGGAAGCTTGGAAATGCCTTGGTCTAATCATAAGGATCAGGCTGCTCTCAAAGCCAGAGTAAAAAGTAACCAAAGCTATTGTCAGCAGGAAGAATGTGTTATTAGAAGAGTGGGTGCCTCTGTGGGGGTGGCGTTGGAATTAATTAACCTGCAAAGGGCAACAGGGTAATGGTCATGCTCTATATCAGGATAGGGGTTAGGGTCACACAGGTGTATACATTTGTCAAAACTCATCAAACGGTATACTTAAGATATGTACATTTTATTCTGTGTAAATTTTACCTAAAACATCATAAACAAGTATTGAATTCTAGGCAACAATACGCATGTTGAAGTGTTTACAGTTGAAGTCTGCTGATGTTTGCAACTTACTTTGAAATGCATCAAGAAAAAACAAGTTGGATTAATGGCTGGATGGAAGGACAGGGAGATAAATATGTGATAAAGAAAGCATAGTAAAATGCTAATTGTGGAATCTAGGTGGTGGGGACACAGGTGTTCACCGTACAGTTCTTTCAGCTTTTTGTTATGTTGGGTTAGGAAGATGTAAGAGAAAAGAAAAAGCCCTTGACATGAAATGGATGAGTCTCCCCTATGCTCACTGGCAGGGAAGCCTGGAAGATACTTCTGTCCAATCAAAAAGATTAATATGTTCTTAGAACTAGAGTAAAGAAAACAGTAACCAAAACAGTTGTCTAAAAAAATAATTACTGGAAGGGAGTGGGTTTATAGGAAATCTGGAAAAGAGAGCCAAAGGGCAGGCAAGAACTTGTCCATGTCAGAGGAACGTGCCCCAACTGGCAGACGTCTGCAGGTAATCCAGCCGGGACAGGTCTATCGTGGTGAACAAGATGGCTGCAACTGGCTGTTTCGGTTTAGTGATACTGTCCATCAATCCTAGCCAAGTTCTCTGTTCTCCTATACCCTAGATGATCTCACAGACTCATGGCTTTAAATACCATCTGTGTTCATGTATAGATCTCCAACCAGGACCACTACCCTGAACTCTAGATTCCTATATCCAACTGCCATGGATGCCATTTGAGATTCGCCAACTCAAATTTCCAACTGGGTACTTAAGAGATATCTCAAATTTATCATGTTCAGAACCCAACTCTCAATTTTCCCCCAAACCTGCTCTTGTGATAGTCCAATAAATTGCAACTCCTTCCTTCCAGTTGCTCAAGGCAATAACTTTGCCACTGATGTTGACCCTTCTCTTGTATTCTTATCCAACTTCCTATTCATTGGCAAACCCTGTCATCTCCATCTTCCAAATAAATCCACAATCTGTTCACTTCTTTCTATTGCTACACCCACTGTGGTCCAACCTACCAACATCTCTCATTTGAATTACTGCAATGGCTTCCTACCTTGTCCCTTGTCCTCTATAGACCATTTGCAACACAACAGCTGGAATGATCCTTTAGAAACTCAGATCACATCACTCCTCTGCTCAAAACCTTCCAGAGGCCCCCACTCCCCTCAGAGTAAGGGCCAGAGTCCTTATAATTTCTAGAAGACCGTAAGTAATCTGCTTTTCCAACCACCCTGGTTACTTCTCTGGCCTTACCGCCCACTGCTCTTCCCTTAACTCACTCTCTTCCAGCCTATCAGCCTCCTACTGTTCCTCAAACGCGCTGGACATGCTCCTCTCTCAGGCCCTTTGCACCAGCTTGTTCTTACAGTTAGAATGCTCTTCACCTAGATATACATGGCTCCCTCCCTTACTTCTTTCAGGGCTCTAAACAAGTGTCACTATATCTACTCTCTATCAGATAGCAATCCCTGACCTTGGCATTCTCCATCCCCCTTGTCCCCTACTTAATTTTTCTCTAAAGCAGTGCCTCTCAAACTTGAATGTGCATGCTAATTGCCTGGGAATCTTGTTCAAATGTACGATTCTGATTCTGTGAATTGGGGTGAGGCCTGAGATTTTGCCTTTCTAACAAGCTCTGGGTGGTGCTCATGCAGCAGGCCCCCAGGCCACACATGGAATGGTAAGGCTCCAAAGCAGGCATTACCATCTGACATGATACATATGTATTTGTTTCATCATCTGTCTCAGCTCCTCCCCGAAAAGGTACACTCCAAGAGGGCAGGGAGGTTTTTTGTCTCTTGTTTACTGCTATGCTCCCAGGGCCTAGAACAGGGCTTTGTACACAGTAGGTGCTCAATTAAAAGTCAAATGAAGGTACAAATGAACTACCATTTTCCCTGTTGCAACTCAGCTCCCCATATAGGTTTTCATATGGCAAAAAGTAATGGCCAGTTAAAGAAGTCCCATCTCTTTGGTAGTTCTAGCCTATATTTTAAATTAATATACTACCAGTCTGGTTTACATATCAATCCCTTATAAGTCCGGTTAACATAAGTTGGTCTTCCTGATGCTGCTGAACTCTGAGGGCTACTAGACCCACAAAGCTGAGGACAAGGCTCTGGAATAATTTAGAGACCCCACTGGTAAGTGCCACACGGTGAGTCAGCTGGTCTTTTCTCTCTGACTTTAACCACCCTTTCTGACTTCAGTTGGTAACTTATTAGCCAAGATCTGCCTCTCATCAAGCAGCACTTGAATTTGGAGTTCTATTAGGACAAAAAAGGCTTCTTTTCCGTAGTTTTTAATCAATCGGTGATTAATCACATTATTAACTTCTGAAAACAGCTCATTAGATAATGTGCCTCTGGTGACATCAAACATTTAATTGCTACTGCTTTTAGCGATTTAGTATTTATATGTGAGTTTTATGCCACTAACATTCTTTAAAACTTAAGGGTTTCTATGAAAAAAAAAATATGCCTCTTTTGCCTATGCTATTCTATCCTGATGAAGAAAAATATATAGTGTATCAGAACATGATACCCTAAATAAATATCTCATTAGCAAGACTTAAAATTTACATGTCTTCTGCTTTTACTTTGTTTTATTGTTTTGGTGTATATGTATGTTCCTTCCTGGTGCGGTATATAAAATCCTTTCGCCTCTATTTAAATGGAAAGAATATATTTATCTTAGATATATTAGTAAATTCCTTTAATGGTCAAAGAGATACTAAAGTTAGGTCAACTGAAATCACTCAAATCTAATGTATTCATTGGCATAGTGATCTAAAACTGCAAGTCATGTACAGAAGAGGCATGAATGGTTATTTAATTTGCAAGAACTTCAATACAGAAAGGATAAGAAAGGGGGGGGGGGAACAACATGTTCTGACCTTCTGCTGTGCCTTAGGCACTGGGATAGGTTCTTTGCCCAGGTACTATTCTTACCCTCAATTTGCAGGTGAGGAAACTGAGCCACGGGGAGGTTAGACATTTTTATGAAAAGTCACCACTCTGAAATACAGTTTGTCAGTTCTAAGTTAACACACATGCCTGGAGGTGTTGTGTGTGTGTGTGTGTGTGTGTGTGTGTGTGTGTGTGTATGCAGGGGAGGGGCTGGCTCAGGGCCCAGGCACTGGGGAGCACTCAGTCCATGTCAATCTCCTGCCCAACATTCCTGTAGCTCTCATTCCACTCAGGGTGCAGCCCTTGGGTCTCTAGTAACTGTGACCCCTCACCTGCACCCTGACCTCCTGGCTGCTACTCTCTTCCATCAGTGACACCCTTGCTGGGTCTCAAACCCTCCCCCTCTGCCTGGAACCTTGTCCCTAGGTAGCCTCAGGCAGCCACTCACTGATCTTCTTAACCCCCGGACATTTAAAATCATGGCCGTTAAGGGCACTGGGTGGCTCAGTTGGCTGAGTGTCCAACTCTTGGTTTCAGCTCAGGTCATGATCATAAAATTCATGAGACTGAGCCCTGCATTGGGCTCTGTGCTGGCAGCACGGAGCCTGCTTGGGATTCTTGCTCTCCCTCTCTTCCTGCCCCTCCCCCACTTGTGCACGCGCTCTCTCTCTCTCTCTCTCTCTCTCTCTCAAAATAGATAAATAAACTTTAATAAAATAAAATAAAATCATGACCATTATTTCCTTGATACTCCCTGGCCTTCCCTGCTTAATTTTTCTCCATGGCACTTATTAGCATCTAACATATTGTTTACTTATTTTGCTTATTTGATCTGCTACTCAGAAATGTAAGCTCTGTGAGGGCAGGGGGTTTGTCTCCAGTGCCAGGAGAGCACCAGGCACATAATAGGTGCTCAAAAATATTTGTCGGAAGAATGAATGAACACAAATTTCCTTTGCCAAAGGATCAGTCTCTCACTTTCTTAAAGTGACATTTTTTGAAATAATGTCTGACGGCCATGTAAAGTATACCACTCTGGTTAACTTCAGTGTGGGGAGAATTTTCCCTACTCCACCAGCTGGGTCACTACTCTGAAGGGCCCCTCACTCCAGATCCTGCAAACGGAGCAGATGAAAACCTCTGCTGGACATGCGGCCACTTCTGTAGCAGTCATTACTGTCCCGTTACTCAGAGGGGATGTGAGTCAAGGGGGCAGTGCATGCAGGGCACTGCAAGGTGGCCCCAGTGATTTAGAAAATACTGGAATCCACAGAACG